GGCCTCGAACTCACAAAGATCCGCCTGCCTCTGCCTCCCGAGTGCTGGGATTAAAGGCGTGCGCCACCACCGCCCGGCCTCTGTGTTGAACTCTTACCTCACCTGAATCCTCATGAGGCTTCTCCCTCTCCAGGGCTTCTTATACTGTTGGTGGGAAGCATAGAGATGTCTACCAGCTAGAGAAAGTCTTCAAGGGTAGGGTCAGCAAATAGGTAAAAATCCTTGGCTTGGAGCAAGGGCTTGGAGCAAGAATATCTGTAATCTTAAGCATAATCCAGTCACCCCATGGCTTTGAGGCTTATCTGCCCCTTTTCTGAGCCCCTGGCTGGGGCTTTAGGAAGGTTTGCTGGGCTTCTCACACCATGGCCTGTCTGTGTTCTCTTGGAGGGCAAGTCTAGCCCAGAGAGGTCATGGCATGTTCTCTGGAAGGGGAACAGGTGTCCACTGTGGGCACGCAACCTTCTCATGGTGCCCACCACTTGCCTGAACAGGGATACGGAGCTGCGGCAGCGCAGGCAGCTGTTTGAGGCTGGCCTTCACTCTTCCGCCCGCTATGGCAGCCATGATGGCAACAGCACGGTGGCGGATGGGAAGAAAAAGCCTCGAAAGTGGCTGCAGCTGGAAACGTCAGAGAGGAGGTGCCAGATCTGCCAGCATTTGTGCTACCTGTCCATGGTGAGTCTGTCTGCAAGGGAGCTCAGTGCAGCCCTACCAAACCTACCATGGGCTCCAACACTAAGCCTTCACCCAGCTCCTTAGCATGGTAGCAGGAATGTGAGTCAGCTGGCCCCACAGTAAGCCACCATGTGTCTGTAGTTCAGAAATCAAGAGGAATGCTGGTGCCCCACCCCACCCCACCCCTCTACTATTTATTCTGCTTATGGCTCCACCCATTGATGGTAGCACCCACATTCAATTAAACCTTTTGGAAAATACCCCCATACATACCCAGAGCTATTCCCTCTGTGATTCTAAATTGTCAGAACTACAAGGATTTACCTTGATGGGGTTTTATCAATGCTACTAACTTGCATTGCTCCAAACTGCTTTGTTTGTGATTAGTCCTTGGAGTCTTTGAAAGGGGCAACCTGTTCCTTTTTCTCCTTTTGTTTGCATGGAGGCTTCTGAGAAAAAGCCTTAAAAGGCCCAACAAATATTTGCACCCAAGTGTTAGGCTCATTGTTGGTTGCACCCTAACATTGTTGCTATTTCTTTTAACACACAGATGATAGGACTTGAGGTCTTCATAAAGAATGAGAATACACAGGCCCTTAAAGGCTCCAAGTGTCAGTGTCTTTTCATGTGACCTCAGGTAGCAGGGCACATGCTTGGTAGGCAACAGCATGCAGGTCCCCTTGGGTACTGAATTTTAGGAGCCTGGCAACCATAGTTTGGTCAGAAACTCCCCAGGTTTGAACTCTAAGCCTTCTAAGCCAATACCAATGTTTTGTCCCATCTCTATGATGAGGTGCTCAGGGAGTCTCTAATACATATCTGGAGAGGGCTTGGAAAACTAAGGGAAGGGGCCACTCCCTCCCTCCCCCACTTGTTGAAGACCCTGTTGCAGGGTTTCTTATTATCAGTTTGTACTGTTGTGAGTCACTGACCCCTACCATGGGCAGATATGTGGACAGGCCTCCTTGAACTCAAGTTTGCACTCTTTTCTTACAGGTGGTACAGGAGAACGAGAATGTTGTCTTCTGTCTGGAGTGTGCACTGCGCCATGTGGAGAAACAGAAGTCTTGCCGTGGGCTGAAGCTGATGTACCGCTACGATGAGGTCAGTTCTGACTTGGGCAGTTCTGACTTGGGCAGGGTGCCACAGAGGCCTCCTTTGCACAGATGACATTAGCTCAGGACCTAGCCGTACTTGCAGGATGGAGGCTGAAGGCAGCCACTGTGACTTCAGATGGATGTGGTCATTCCTATCTAGACTGGACTGGAGAGATGGTAGCTTGAGTCATGCTGGGTCCTCAGATCCTCAGTACCCTTGGCCTCTCTCCACATCCTTCCTGTTCACAGTGCCAGATTCTGTGCTTGTTCCATTTAGCAAGTTTGCTTCTTGCACAGCAGATGCCTGACCCCAGAGATGGCTCTTCACCTGCCTTGATACTACATTTTGGGAAGTTACTCTCTACCTTCACAATTACTCAAGATCTCCACAGAGCTTTTTCCTCTGGCTCCCGAGCCTGTTAAATGTGGATCAGAGAAAGTTGCCACCAAGGCCATTTCTGGCAGAGCTGTGATTGCCTGGTGGCTGCACTTGGATACTCTTTTCCCCTGTGGTGGTTCTGCACACAACAGAATGATTGCCTGCCTTTCTGGCCAGGCAACTTGTATAGCTTTCTCCCACGTTACCTTTCTGGTTGGGATATTATCCTAAGGGTGACACTGGCCTTCAGCGTGGCATTGCTCTAATGAACCTGTCACCTTTTTACTAACAGCCTGCCTTGCTTCTCTGGAACTTGGGCAGCCACTGGCTGTGCTAGCCAGCACGACATTTAAGTGTAAGGTCCTGGTCCCCAGGGTCCACACTGCACCTTACTAAGGCAATGGAGTACTGTGCTTGACCTAGGTTCTAGCCTTAGAATACAGGGCAGTTGAAGTGGAACCCACATGAGATACCAAATGATTTTCAGCTTCCCCCTGATTCTTGTCTGTACAGCCAGGAGACGTGTGGAAGGAGCTGCCGGGGCAGGGGCGGGGGACTTTTGTGGCTGTGGACTATGTGCTGTTGTGGGAAGGGATCATTTGAGTCCCAGGGGATGAGTCCCATATCTGCCTTCAGACTGACCACTGAGTCAGGGCTGGGGGTGGTGGTGGACATGCTCCTTGCATGATGTAGACACCTGCCACTGCCCAAGGCTGTCCCCTTACCCATCACTGATTCCATGTCCTGTGTTCATAGTGGAACGTTTTAGGTCGGGGGCCATGTGTGATCCACACTGTGCAAGGGGCAGCTGGCCACTGTTCTTAATTTCTGGATTTTTCTGCATCTCTCCCCAACTATTTGATGCAAGCCATCTCCTGGATGGAACTCTTTTCAAATTTTAAGGTACATATATGGGGATGCAAGTACACTAGCTGTCGAAGGCCTTCGATTCCCTGGAGCTGGAGTTACAAGGCAGCTGTGAGCAGAAGTGGGTGTTGGAGCCCAGCTCCTCCTGTAAGAGGGGGAGGTATATATACTCTGAGCAACTGAAAGGTCTTTAGCCCCAGGAAGTTTCCTTAGGTGTCATCCTGAGCTGCATCTCTGAATCCTAAAGCTGTTTAGAAAGCCTGCCAATGTCTGCGGCCGCACACTCCCAAGTCCTCATGCTGAGGTCATGTTTGTTGCCTGGGACCCTCTGCTCCACTAACTGCATGCTGTCTGTCTGTCCTGGCAGGAGCAGATCATCAGTTTGGTCAACCAGATATGTGGCAAAGTGTCTGGCAAACACGGCGGCATTGAGAACTGTCTCAACAAACCCACACCAAAAAGAGGCCCCCGCAAGAGAGCGACCGTGGACGTGCCGCCATCTCGGCTGCCATCCTCCTGAAGATGCCGTACCCACGGTCACTTATATATTTTTTGTAATTACTATATTCTAGTTTGGAGTACTTGCTGTAGGATACAAGCTGTCTTTGCACTAGCTCTAACGAAGAATTTCTTCTGGTTTTAGAGAACTGATTTTGTTTTAGCATTAAACTGTTGACGTTTTTGTACGTAGATATCTAGATACTGCAGTCAGGTTTGGAAGCTGCCGTACACTCACTGTTCAAAACCTTTGAGGGGCTGTATTAATTTGTATTGCCCCCACGGCTGACAAAAGCCTTGTTTTTGTTTTGTTTTGTTTTTTTGTTTGTTTTTGTTTTGTTTGGTAACTGTTGGAGAATAAAGGCTTTTTAACCCATTTTTGAAGAGGGTGAAGTTTGGAGAACAAATTTGAAAACCATCAGTCACATGAGCAGATTTTTATAGATTGGGAAAGGGATAGAAGACACACACACACACACACACACACACACACACACACACACACACACACAGAAAAAAGAAACTTGAATGGCTTTACTTCGGCTGTCTTTTCTTCTGTCTTGTGCAAGGGGAGTTTGTAACTTTTGGAACCGGAGCGCCTCGTTTGTGTAGCTGGGCGGTTATGGCAGCTGAAGGCAAATGTGAGGTTTGAGTGACTGTTCTCATACCAGCACATCACTATGCATCCGTTCGAGGAGGAGAGAGGACGAAGACAAAGACTGCCTGCCTTGGAGGGTCACTGAGGGAGACCTGTGCCTGATTTCATTAGGAAATCCATTCTGTTATTTTTTGGTGCTGTTGGCTACTTTATCAAATAAATAAATAAATTAAAAAATAAAACCACAAAGTCAGCGAACCCTTGATAGCAGCATCCTTGAGGAAAAGGAAACCTGTAGTTGACTGTCAGTGCTTCCCGCCGCCGCCGTCGTCAGTGCGGTCTCCTGACACTCCACCTCTGCTTGTCCACTCACTCACACATCAGCATTACCCTGCGTGGGACCACACTAGAGCCACTAAGTCCGCAGTTCTTCCCAATGTGAACCACATCTGTGCTCATCTTGTCTGTTTTTTCTCTTCATGTTTTAACAAAAAAGAAAAAAAAAAGAATCCTTTGTACATACTCCTGTAAATTGTTTTAAATACTTGAGCCTTTTCTTGGTGGGGGGAGGGGAGGGGTGAGAAAAGATGAAGAAAAGCCTTACATTTCAGTTTCTTCATCGGCTGGATTGGATGCTTACAGGGTTTTTCTTGTAACATTTCTAAGTGCTGCTTACATCACTCAACAACAACAAAACATGGTAATGGAGTAGCTGTTGCCCTTCTCCGGTTGTGTGTACAGTATGTGTGGAATAAAAAAGGGAAACTGTTTTCACAAGCTGTTCTTTGTTTCATAATTGGATCAGTCCGTAGCTACCCATATTGCACTGAGCTTGCCAGTGGTGACTGCCAGGAACGTCCTAGGATCCACGGTGGTGGTTGTTGTTGCCGAAGACTGAACTGTTTTGGAATATTTAACGGTTACATAACAGTCGAGTGTTTTCCCATGTGGTTGTCCAGTTTCTATGGCCTTGCTGTGTACTTTTCCCTCTTTTTGACAGTAAACTCGCCTATGGCTTACAGTTTGACATTTAATTTATTAGCGCTGCTCTGCACCCCTCCTCACGAGGGAGGACTTCGTGTGGTTTATTGCCAGTTTTTGTTTACTTTTCAGGTTTGTACTACAAGGTTTAATAATAAAAACGAGTTTTTTGGACATTTGTCTGTCTTGTGGAAAGTGAGGGGAAGGGATGGGCTTTCTTCTCTGGTCAGTGGGGCAGAGGCTGCAGGTCTTCCTTTTGGCCAGGGAGTGGAGCTACTGAGGCATTTTCCTGTGACTGCGTAGCTACGCACTGTGGCTCTGGTGGGGACAGGAGCTACTTCCCTGGGGACCATTCCTGTGGGAAGCAAGCCAAACGGGGCTCCGGTTTATTTCTGCTGAGGTCCAGGTGTTCTCTTGTAGTGACAGCAGGCTTTGGCCTGAAGATGATTCAGCTGATGGGGTACAAAAGTAGGTTTTCCAGATCCCAATTTGATCAGTATTGCTCACAGGTTAGCAGTTTTTTCCATTGTTACACCAGGGCACGAATCCCACATGGCCAGGGCCAGGTCCTGTCCCCTCCAAGCCCCTCCCTCCCTCCTCAGTGGCCCTCCATACCTGGGTTCCTTTAGGAATGCTTGGTCGTATCAGCTGTAAGCACCTGTCAAGGCAGGGGCTTTTTTCTACAACCCCACATACTCACCCACAGCTTAATGTTTAGTCTCTAGCTTTATTGTGAGTTCTTCTCTAATGGGTCTCACATACCATTAGCAATTGTGTAAAACCAGAACCCTCTAAAGAACCCGGCTTTGCAGGAGGATTCTGCACACAGCTGGCAAAGTCACTTAAATGTCCTGGGTTGAGTCACTGTCATCACTGACACCTGGGGTGGATTTTCTGTCAGTGTGTAGTGTGACCAAGGCAGTGTCCACCTGTACCTCCTCCTCATCAGACTGGACGAGGGGGGCATCGACGGTGTCCCGATCAGTGCCCGCAGAGGGTGAGGCAGGTGGCTGGAGTGCTGATTCTGAGGGATTTGGAATCTGAAGAGTCATTTCATTCTGACAGGGGTTGGATTCAAGCTCTGTTGAAGAAAGGAGAAAAGGCCTCTGAGGTATAGCAGTTGGGAACTGCTATTGAGGACAACCGTCGGAGGCACACTACAGGGCTGCCTTCTCCCCATCACCACTTCCTGGTGGTTCTCCCTGCAGGAGCCATGGGTGAGCAAGCTGGCTGACCCTCTAGTCTCTGCTCACTCAGTTAAGCACCTGTGACACTAGAAAAGACCAAGAACTCTTGCAAACCACATCAGATCCTTTAAGCGCTGTGTTGTGCTTAAAGGGTCAGGGCACGTGCTAAAGGCCATGCGCAACCTAGATGATGGCTACAGCTCCGTCAGTCCCTGTACACTGGTGCTGAGATGAATTCAGAATGAGAGCCTCCAGCGCCTCTCCAATTTTACTAGGACTTAATGACTGTGACTAAAATCATCCAGAGGGCTTGAGGAGGTCCCGTGAAGTCAGGAATCCGGACCCTCAGTACTGTGGGGCCTATACCTGAGGCCTGAGGGTTGCTCCTCTTCTGTACATGAAAGAAGCAAACACTGGCTAGTCAGAAAAGTGCTCAGGTTTAAGAGTACAAGCCCACGACCTGAAGGCCTCGGTGAGCACGAAACCAGAGTGGTATTCCACACTCCTGCTTAGGAAGGGCAGAGCTACCACACTCCCAATCCAGTGTCACCTGCCACCTGAGGCCCCCCCACCCCCACCCCTCACTGGAGGCAGTGGAGCTGGATACTTAAACTTACTAGCACAGTGAACAGTCTGCATTTCATTTGCCTTATCTACATGTGGAAAAATGGGCCCATGAAAGATGAGTTTAAGAGAGTTGACATTGCTCTCTGGTGGTGATTCTTACCTAAACCAGGGGACAGCACAATGTTCTCCTCTCCGCTGGAGTTCAAGAAGACATCCAGAGCCTCCTGGTCCGAGATGTCCATCAGGTCCATCTGTTCCAGCATGTCCACATTCACCTCCATTGATGACATGCTGCCCATGGGCTCTGAGAATAAAAGAAATTACACCTTGTTTTCCTTTTCATGTAAATGTTGAGTTTCATCATTATTAGGCTAATTACACTATTTTGTCCTAGCTCCTGCAATCACCAAGTGACATTAAATCTGTCCTAAGTCATCTTTCATTACTTGTTTGCAGGTGGTATTTGAAACAGGGTGCTCCTGCAGCATGAAGGGGCAGGTAGGAACTCTTTCAATGGGCCAGTAGGAAGTGGACATTTTTACGGTGGGAGAGTGAGGTGAGCAGCTCACCAGCAGTCGGAGACAGGGCCACCAGACCTGAGTGCCTGAAGCAGGATGCCTCTCAGAACTGGTGCTAGGTCACCTCCCACCACCAGCAAGAAAGAAATCCTAGGAGTCAGGCGGCCTGGGATAGTGTATTAATGAACCTTGGGCTTCAGACAAGGAGCCCCCTTCCAAGTGAGCGGCAGCACAAATGAAAACAACAGGGAGCTGCAGGAAATCTGTGTCTGAGACGCTTCTAAGATGGACCAGATAACTACAAGTTCATGATTGAAACTGAAACTTTGGCACAAGTTGAGGATGAGAGCCAGGAAAGTAGAGAAGAACTAGATGGCCAGGCAGATCTCTTACTTGGAGGTCAGTCTGGTTCCAGTGAGTTTCAGGCTACCCAGGGCTACATAGTGAGGCCCTGTCTCAGAAGAAAAGATGCCTAAAGAAAGTTCAATTCTCCTGTCCCAAGTGCTGGAAGTCCAGGCATGTACCGCCATGCTTAGCTACAAATGAGTGGCCTGTGCAAAAGCAAAGACTATGAACAGTGTGGCATACTACTGTGTTAAAAACTAAAGATGTTTTGGCACGCTTTCCATGGAAACCATAAAGACAACACTAGAACAGAGGAGCCAATGGTCCCCCAGTGTGGTATGCTCATCTACTCAGGATAAACAAGGACAGTAATGTGCTCAGGGGCCAGTTTTGAGTCTTAGAAATGTACTGCAATTCCAATCAAACTTCAGACTGAGGTTATTGAAGAACTTAAAAGCAAAACCAAACATGGTAAGCGGAGTGAGGTGGAGTCCAGCTTACACCGGTGGCTTTGCCTCTGTTGACCCTGGAAGACCGACGGCTCTCCTGTGTAAGGTAGGAGCTATACTGCCCTTAGCCCCTGCCCATGAAATCCTGTGGAACACCTTTACCCCACTGTAAAGCAAAATCTTGCCAACAACAATTTGTATCCAGGCATGGCCAAATGTCCCTTGCAGTGAAACTACCTCTTAATGAAATGTAAGTGTTACAAAATGACAGTGCAGTGTCCTAATCTGTAGTTATAGGTTTAAAACACAAATACAGGGTTGCCAAAGCCTTGAGAAATACCGTGTATCAGACAACTGTGAAAGTCAACATCCAGACTCAATGAAAGGAAGACAAGATAAGAGAAATCAACAACTTCTTGCTGCCAAGGCTGATACTTACCTTCCACAGCCTGACGACGGTAACGCCCTACTGTTGAAGAGACCACTAATGTCACTGAACATTGAGAAATCAGCTGGTGCCCAACTAGAATCTTCAACCCTACTGACTAGCATTCATGGTGCTAGAAGGTACTTTGTATGTGTGGTAGTTTGAATAAGAATAGCCCCCATTGCCGGGCAGTGGTGGCTCACGCCTTTAATCCCAGCATTCGGGAGGCAGAGCCAGGCGGATCTCTGTGAGTTTGAGGCCAGCCTGGTCTACAGAGCGAGATCCAGGACAGGCACCAAAACTACACGGAGAAACCCTGTCTCAATAAAGAAAAGAATAGCCCCCAGATAGCTTATATATTTGAATATTTGCTCCCCAGTTGGTAAAACTGTCTGGAAAGAATTAGGGAGTATGGCCTTGCTGGAGGTTGCGTATCACTGGGGGTTTCAGATTCTCAGAACATTTACTCGTGTGTGTGTGTGTGTGTGTGTGTGTGTGTGTGTGTGTGTGTGTGTGTGCGCGCGCGCACCTGCCTCAAGCTTGTGGATCAAGATGCTCCATAACCATGCCTGCCTGCATGCTCCCATGCTCTCTGTCATAATAGTCATAGATTCTAACCCTCTGAACTGTAAGGCCCAAATAAACTTTTGTATGTTGCCTTGGTCATGGCATTTTATCACAGTAACAGAAAAGCATCTAAGACAGCATACTACAGGAGGAGGAGAAATAATTGTCAGTATCACCCAACTACAAACCCAGTGACCTGCCTGCAAGATCTACTGGTGTAATAGAGGCACACATGTAATGGAGTAACGGCCCACTTTTTGATTGGATACAAGGCCCGTTGCATATCTGACCCTGCTCAAGTGGGCCCACACCTAAAACTAGATAGATCATGGGCCTACCTAAGGGGAAACTGTTACTATTATTATGCTAAAGGGACATAGCAATAAAACAACTCCCAATGACATATTGCTATATCCAGAGATCAGTGCCTCACTCCAGCTCTTATGAGAGAAGCTGCTTCTTGCAGTAGATGGGTGTTAACACAAATACAACTGACAATCGTACAATGAACATAAAGTGAGAGACTCTGGAGCACTCAGTCCTAGAAGGGATGTCATCAAATTCTCCCCCTCAAGATTTCGGGATCTATGTGGAAGAGGCTGAAAGAGTGTAAGAGCCAGAGGTGGTGGTTGACTTCAAGGAAACAGTGCCTTCCATTCACACATGGACTAGTACACATAGGAACTCACAGACTGTGACAGAATGTGTAAGATCTGCACAAGTTCAAACCAGACAAGCACAGAGAAGTGAAAGTGGACATAAAGTCCCACTACTAACCAAGAAGTTAAGCTATTTATAACTGACATCTTTTGGGAAATGGAAAATCAGTTTTCTCAAGTGTAACTGGGTACATGAACCACACTCCAGGTAGCTGCGTGCGCGTGCGTGCGTGCGTGCGTGCGTGCGTGCACACGCAGTTCTTGTTTTGGAATTTTATTGTCTTGTTTGGCTTTTTTTTTTTTTAAGAAATCAGTCTTTTAATTGCAAAGCCTAAGAAACATTGTTAATATCATGCTTTTTTTAGGGTGTTGATAATCATGAAACATATACACATTAAAATGTAAATATTCATAGCCACATTTATATAAAAGAACAGTAAATTTCAGGATAATTC